CCCTATCTCTCTTCCGTCTCTCCATCCCTGAACCCATCCCAAAATCTCATATGCAGTATCGAAAGTTCAACTGACTGAATGGCTTATCCAGTAAATTTAATCAGGCAATAACCGAACATTTCAAAAGTTTCGGAGACTAAGTAGGCCGGAAATTCACTGTCAACAAAAACTATGCGACCTCAAAGTCCATTGCATAATTGATCACAAAGTGGAAGGGGAATGGAAGGGTCGCGCCCTTTAGCGCCATATGCATAGGTCGAGGACCGAACCTGAGATCGAATGTATCCGAAACTAACGATTATTTCACCACTTTGGAGAGGCCTAGATAGCAACGAGCCTTTGTGGATGGGTAAGAGCATTGACATGAACATTTTAAAACCCCAAAATTCATGGATCAGCCCAAATACGTCCTAAACGTCCTAGCTCAACCTGATTAGGCATTGGATGGGTAAACACATCCCAAAGAAGGAATGATTAGGGCAGACAGATTATCCCCAATAACAGAATTATAGTTCTATAATTGAATTGAGAATTTCCATATTTATGATCGAACACTCACAATCAGGCAACAACGAGACATTGGGATCCCACCACCTTCAGAAGGATTGAACAGATTTGCTCTTCAACCGGGGACCCTTAGGATTTTAATTATCAGAAAGAAAAATTCTAAAAATCTCTTCGTTCATTCTCATCGAAAAAACACTCCAAAAAATGACCTTCAAAAAAANAAAAAAATTTGACAGAAAAAGTAACTGAAGACAGGACAGCAAGAAGCAGCTTACTGTTTAGTATGTCGAATAACTGGGCATGAAAAAATGTAAGCAAATATTAAAAACGCCAAAGTCAGATCATTCAGCTTCGAATAGCAAATAGAGTAGGGAAGATTCAATATCATTTTTCTCGTAGAAATAGATATAAAATGCATGTATTCGCTTCTATATAATTTTCCCAGACAGACATTGAAAATATTCAAGTGAAAGATAAGATGAGAACCATCTGAGTGGGAATTCGACTGAGAGGACATTCGGAAAATTGGATATTTGAACAAAAAAAACATTGACGTTGTGGTCTGGGTAAAAACTGGATCTAAGAATTTGAAAAATGCTTCCCGATTTATGGGGCCATTCCATTGACCTGTTACTTGAATCGACTCAACTATGCTTTCTGTAAATGCTTGTTGATTTATCTCTCAATAAATAAAAGTTTTTTCATAAAAGTAATGCTGAACTTTTTTTTGGAGCTGATTTTCTGAAAATTTTTGTGTCATTTAAAAGTGTAATATTTACACAAACATTACTAGCAGCCACCACCTTAGGTTATCGCAAATTCAGTTTGAGCGCATCTTCAATGGAAATGAAACCAATGAAGAAGAAAGTAAATGCAAATGGTGAATAAACAAATAAGTAAAGAAACAAATGATCACAGACTGGAGAGGTTAACGTGAAAATTTTCGTGTAAGAAGTTGCTTACCATTGGGATTCCATGAGCCGTCGTTGTCTCACCGAAGTCGATCATCGTGTGTTTCAACTCGTTGGTGTGACATCCTGGGGTGAACTTGGCTGCCCTGCCGAACCCCTGTAAAAAGTATTGTAACTAACATATTACATAGACATTGGGTCCATCCACACCTTGAGCTTGCCTTGAATTCCTTTTTTGTCTGAATCAAAGGAATCTCTTCGTTCTGAATCCGAATTGTAATCGGGTTTAAATGGAATGGGACTAGGATTCGAATGCAAGGTAGCCATATCGTGATAGGAAGGATTNAGTGGTTCTATGACTGCTACATGAGTTGGCCTCTGGAATGACACAGCACTTTCCGTGGGTGATTCGGAATGTGGTCTTCCAAGTGCATATGAATCAGTGAAATCCGTTTCTGTATTCTCGTCGACATCCGTGTTGAGAAGCTTTTTCGACGGCGAAGTGCTCAACACGGTGAGAATCAAGGACATATGGGAGAGTTTGAGGCACAGTGGTAGGCACCTCACTCAGCTGGGGACGATCACTGACCACTGTGGGTGGAGCCGAGGCCGCCCGGGTGTCAAGCTAATAAAATGCCGCAGCGTGGCAGTAAAAGATCTTCGCTTTGTAGAAGTTCATTTGTACTTGTAAAAAGAGTCCCTTGATGTTGTAGTCTTGTCAAGCACTTATTTGGTAGAACATCAGTTTTTGCATGGGCAAAAAAGGGATGAGTGGGCGAATCACACGAGAGCAAAGAACATCCATTGTGGGTGGGGCTTCAAGTCATGATTGGCTGGTTATTTTCCGATTTCTTCCCCGTTGCTAACTGGTCGTTTATACTACTTCTGAACCACATATCACACAGGCTGAAGCGCTTTTTCAAGCCTTCGAGTAGGTAAAGCACTCACCGACACATCAGGCAGGGGTTTGTTTATTTACATTTTACAAATATAACTCACATCACAACCGGGTATAGAGTATATTTCAATAAAGTGAATGAACGGAATTATAAAAATTGGAGAGGACCATTAGTGGCTCTTCGTAACCACAAAGAGCAGGACTCACCATATCGGAAAAGCTCATTGACGCCAGCTTGCACTTAGGCCAGCATCCTAATCGAGATGAGCCTATCTCTTGCCTTTTTCGAGTTTATGTGTCACTCCCATAACACACCATATGGGAACCCAAAGCGATGATGACCATACATACGCACTCGCACTGAATAAACCAAACTGCAGCATTTACGAGAAACTCGGAAAAACTCGTCCAAGTATTGCAAGCCCACCAAATTACTGGACTCTTCCAACAAATGGAACGAATTTCACGGCTCGTTCGCGCTTTTGTTGGTCCCCAGGGGCTGAACATTTCTCAACGTATCATGTCTCTGTCTTGAATGGCTAGTTGCCGCCTTTCAACGCCTTCCCCATTGATGTCACTACATTCACATGCCAAAAGGTCAGATGATAGTACTATCAAACTTGAGTAGTAACAACTTGTACTACGAAAACCCTCAATCGATACCATATAGGCTTCCATTGATGGGTTAGTACTGCGTACCCACATAGACTCAGGAGCTTACCTCACTCAAGGCCCACTCTTAAAATATAAAAATGGCTCTTTAATTATTTACAGTCAAAGACCTGATCATCAAGTACGATCTACCCCAAGAATAAAGAAGCCTATCAAATACCCAAAAAAGACCAAGCAGGACGGCCTGTTGAGGAAATCTTCCAAAGGATGGCTCAGAGACCAGCTATTAGGCTTTACATGGAGAATGTTGTTTTTTTTTCAACCCGAAATTCTCTTTCAAAACAATAAATTTTGTAAGTAGGTCGTAAACATTTCGAAAGTATTTCTCTGCAGTACGAGTGCTTCACTTCGTGTTAAGAATAGTCACAGTTAAGGTTGTTTTCGAGGTTTGCAGAGGTTGAGATCGAATTGACACAATTTAGATGTAGTTTAACTAATTTAATCTTCAGTTTCTTTCCATGGAATCGGTCAGTGGTTGATCCAGTACTTCACAACGACCTCTTTTGACCATCCCAACATTACATTACCAAAGAAGCTGTGTCGTAGTTTTTTTTT